AAGGGTGAGCTCAAATCCGCTTCCCCAAAGGGGGACAAGAATAGGTTTTTATAATCATAGGGGGTGAGATTCCATACATATTGATGAAAAGGGGCCGCAGGGAGACTTAAGGTTATCCATGAAGAAAGATGGAGCATGCGCATTGAGCAAACATAGATGTAACATACGTCCCGTGTTCACTTTGGGATGGAGACTTAACATCAGAATGAGGCAGAATTCAGCCCCTGACGTCCGGAGGTTATCTTGGGACAAGGAGAAGGGGCTGTGGGCACGCTCTGAGAGCTGGTATAAGCTGGATGGGGTCTTGGGCTAGTTACCCCTGGGTAAGGAACTCGGGGCCTTGCTTCTTCCTAGGCTGGAACCATATCAGTTGACTTTGAATCCAGGCCTCTGCAGAGAACGCCAGTGAGTTTGTTAGTGGGGTCTGAATGACACAATAACTGATTAAGGGAAACAGTCTCTGGAAAACAAGTTTTAAACCCTCTGCTCATTTTAACCTCGTTAACCCTTTGGGGCACAGATTCAATTCCCCCCTGCGTTATGGTCACTGCTCAATCATGAGGACTTGGGACGATGACCACTCTGGCTACTTCTTGATCTCCTCAGGGGTAGGTGTTGGGTGAAGAGCACTGTTTGTAAATCTTGGCTGTGACATGCCCACAGGCTGGGCTAAACAGAAGTTTTTAACCTAGAGGTCACAGCAGAAAGGGAAATAGAAGCCATGTGAGGTCAGACATGCTGAGTTTTTCCCTGTTAGCGATATTCCATCCATTGGAATACTATTTGACCATAAAAATGAAATACTGATATATACTACGGTATGAATGAACCTGAAAGCATTATGCTAAGTGAAAGAAGCCGGTCACAAAAGTCCACATATTGTAGGGTCTCTTTTATTTGAAATGTTCAGAATAGTGACAGAGAATGGATCGGTGGTTGCCTAGGGCTGGGGTGAGGACAGGTGGGTACGGGGGACAATGGGAGGTGACTGATCATGGGTACAAGGTTTCTTTGGGGGTGATAAACCTGGTCTAAAACTGTTAGTGATAGTTACACACCACAAGGCATTTACTAAAAACCGTTGAATTGCACATTTTAAATGGAGGCAATGTATGGCTTATGCGTTGTGTCTGAATAAAACTTTTTTTTTTTTTTAAATAACAAACAAGGGAGAGAGAAAGCAAAATCTAGGCATAGAGAAATCTAGACTCTGGAGGGGAAGAAAATACCATGAGTTCAGAACTGGACCACCCAATAGTACGGTCTGTTTCTTTTCAACTCACACGGAGATAGTAGATGTCTCGCTTACTGGTGAACATCACTTGGCGTTGCAGTTTTGAAAAATCCTTCCCTGCTCTGACTGGGTTATAGATGCGGTGTGAGAAAAAGGCCAAGTAGCTAAGCCATTTTTTTCAATCCCTTTCTTTTACGGCTTTGTTGCTATGTGCTGACCTTACCTGAAACATTTGTTCTTACCTGGTCCTGCCCGCTTTGTCGCAGACCTTCCCTCTCTTTTTCAAAATATGAATTTTTTTTAATGATACAACCTGCCTACATTGTGTTTATTCAGTTTTTAAAATAGATTTTCAAATTTATGACTGTTGTAAAACACAAATGCCTAATCCAATCCAAGCTAACCTTGCCTTTTAATCACAATGACACTCATGCTCAGGTATACTTTATTCTCGCTGCAATTTATTGTTTGGGTACCGCTTCAAATTGTAATGGGAAACTCTGTGTTGGCCCTGCTGATCAAGGTTACCAAAATTCAATGTGCAGGAGACAAATACTTATTTCACCAGGTTCAGCCAAATAGAATTAATGTAAAGACTCTAAAAAGCAGAGAAGGAAATTAGGGACATGTTAGAACCAGTGCAAAGAACACAATCTGAAGAAACCCTGGAAAATAAGGACAAATGTATCGTTATCTCCTTTGTGTTTCTTGAAGTCAAAAGCAAGATGGTCAAGTTTTTAGCTGGTTCCAGAAGCATCTTTTCTGCCTTTCTCTTTGTACTTTCCTACATTGCCCTAAAGCCCTCCGGAACAACCTCACCCAGCCCAGCCCTCCCACCTCCGTGATACCTCTGCCAACTGTCTCTCTTCCCCGAGTCAGAAACCTTTCTTCTCTCCATCTTCCCCCCTCCCCCCTGTTTGTCGGAACTGCATATGTTTTCCATAAGTATGGCCCATCTTGCTAACGCTGCTAGATTGTGGGAAATAACCCGCTAGAACTAATTTATTCTCATTTGATTGCTAGATCTCCCCAGTGGTGTTTGCATTAAAACAAGGGATCCCCCGAGCAAGAATCCTTAAAACCAAAGAGTGGAATTGACAACAATAGAGCCTGAAGCTCTGAGGCAGGTCTGGGCTAGAGGTATTTTTGAATAAAGGAAAAGGAAGAGTCAACATTGGTGGTGGAGTGCCTATTCTAAAATTATTTGGAAATGATCCTCTCCTCGTCGTCAAATTATATACTTCTCTATGATTGTTAATTACATTTGTCCAAGTGTTTATTTTTTAAACCGTTCTCATTAGCCTTGCTTTATGGTAGTCACATTTACAGAAAGCATCTCTTAAACCAAGTCACCAGAGCTCTGAAAGACGAAAGAAATAGAAGAGTAAAATGACTTGACCAGAGGAACGAGTGGCTTAACCGTAGATCTGCCGGAGGTCAGGTTTAATGTTCTTTCCTAGAGGAAATGAAAGCAAACTTTTTAATTCAGGAAGGCAGTCTAACAGGGACTCCTCTGCTTGCGCTTGCTTTCCGTCTTGCATTTCAGAAAGAGCCTGCAAGAGTTTTGAATTATTGGGAGACATTGATTTCAGAGGGTCAGATGTTGAAGGAGTTCGGGATACACATATCAGTTCACAGAGATGGTACCTTGGATATTTATTTGCAAAGTGAACTGTGTTTACATACCTGGATAACAAATACTAAAGATAGCTTTCTGCTTTCCTTCACCTCATAGATTTTTGCATCAAGATGTTAGCAGTGTGAAAAGTCAATAACGTGGAAAATGTTTAGAGTTGCATTTCAGAGATTAGAAAGGAGTTTTTAACTGCTTTTAACCTCCCTCTTATTTTTATTCTCCAATGGGCACCTCCCAAAGTAGAGGAAAGATGCAGAGGGTCTTATCATCCATTTTCGCCCCTTAAAAATTATTTAGTATTCTTATTTTGAAAAATCAACATGTTTAATGGTACTATGTAACTATTTTAGACCCCTCTCCTCCCTCTCCCCATTTAAAATGTGATGGATAAGTAACAGTGGGTAAATTCTTCTACCTCTGTTCCATTAACTGTCCATGACATTGACCTTTTGGGGATTTACTTTCATAAGTACAAGCTACACTAATTATTTAAAAACTACTGACAATACTATGCCTTAATTCATTAACTTGCCCACTTTTTCACTCTTCCATGGTCTCTTTTTTCCTTTTCTTCTTTTTTTTTTCCTGACATATTTTTTGGTTCAGATACTTATTCAAATCTCTCTGTTAAGCAGTTTGATTTGTAGCTAATTGTAGCAACCGATTTTCATTATTTATGAGTGTCATTGTCAGAACCCATTTGGAAGTCTGACCAAGATAAAGCTGATTCCAACTTCTGATATGACCACGGCAATAAGGCAATTAACCACACTAGTTAAAATGTGCGGAGGCCTGGAGGCTACTGATATCTTTGCAACCAAATATATACTATATCGGGCATTATGTTTGACTCATTTTCTAGAAGATTCCACATGTTATTATTTTATCACAAATAATTTATGACACCCTCTTTTTTAAAAAACATAATGTATGTTACTTCTCACACCAGCCAATTAACTTTAAAGCGTTCGTAGATTGAAGAGATAGAAGTAGGCAAATGAAAACTCTGAGTGATATAAATGCTTCATATTCTTAAAAGGTTGGTATTATGTGGCAGCATCTAAATCAGTCTTTGTGTACTGTTATTCTTTATATGTATTTTGATTCTGGTCGGTACCTAAATCTCGGACTCCATCATTCCAAAAAGAGACAAGAAATGGAAGGGCCATATATCTGCACCGTACAAGCAGACATATTTCTCTCTCTTCTCATCCATACTGTCATAAAACATATGTGAAATTTCAAGAATAAACACATGATTGGCGAAGTCATTAATAAGAGAGGTCATTTTCAGGTGTCACCTAATTTAAATACTTTTGCTTGAAGTTATGGCCTTGCTGTGAGTTTTATTATGCTCCAATTTATTAGTAAAGCCCTGTAGGGTTCACAGGGAACTTGATTTTACCATTAATTTTTAAATATATATTACTCCTGCTTTATTTTTGGAGTACATTTTATTTGCAAAAATTGGTTTCCTCTGATCCATACGGATGTTTCCAGGTGTTTATTAAAGCAGAGTATCTAGAAAGTCAGATGTCTGCAAATTTTCAAGACGTTACACTCCAAAGCATAGTGAATATATGCACACACACATGATACATGTTTATGCTAGTAGCTAACCTAAGGAGGGAAGATGTAATAAAGACTAACCAAACCCCTGTTTCTATTTACCAAGTAACCTACTCTTTTTTCTCTACCAAGGGAGTGACATCTGGGTGGGAAAGATCCCATCGCTTAGGACTAGAGCCAAGACCCAGGAAATAACCGACAATTTCCATTGCTTCACAAGTGGCTAAACAAAACTCTATAGTTGATAACTAGTCCTTTCTCTGGGTTGAGTTGTCATGGTCTGCGCTCCTTGGCTCGCCCCTCTCTCTCTTGAGGTGCTTATGGGCTTAAGTGGTTGGCAGAGGAGCTCTAAGTGGGGCGAGTGGGAAATCAGCGGAGGAGCTCCACCCAAGCCTCCCTTAATTGCACCCACTTGACCATGTGCCACGCGATGCTAATGTAAACACCTGGTGCTGGTAACTGAAAAACCAAAATGCTTGAGTGTTTATTTTAGGGAGATTTCGTTTAAAAAAAACTGATACACATACTCACTAGTTGTTATCTCTTTTTCCCCCTAATTAGGACAGAATTTTACCCTAAGGCAGTTAGGAGTTTGTGAACCAGCAACTCGAAGAGGACTGGCATTTTGTGCGGAAATGGGGCTCCCCCACAGAGGTTACTCTATCAGTGCAGGGTCAGATGCTGATACTGAAAATGAAGCAGTGATGTCCCCAGAGCATGCCATGAGACTTTGGGGCAGGGGGGTCAAATCAGGCCGCAGCTCCTGCCTGTCAAGTCGGTCCAACTCAGCCCTCACCCTGACAGACACGGAGCACGAGAACAAGTCCGACAGTGAGAATGGTAAGTGCCATTTTTTTTTGCTCTATCATGTTGGCCTTCAGTGCTTCTGTCTGTTGTAGTTGACTGTGGGGGGCATGCTTCTCTTCCTTTCTTCTCTCCTTCCCTCTCTTTCTTTCTTCTTCCTCTCTTTTTGTTTTAATGCACTAGAACTCAAGAAATGTCCTTGAATCACGCATTTATTTTTTCCTGGAAAAAAATCAATAGTCGACATCAGATTGTTAAATTATGCAAGCGGTCTATCATGTGTTAGCTATAGTTTTGAAAAACAGTTTAATTATGTACAGAAAAAAAAAAAGATTAGCTTTGACTTATCTGGGACCATGTCACCTGGTATCCTCTGTGGAGTAGCAAAGCCAGTGGTGGTAAAGTTTACCCCAGAGCCAGCTTGTAATCAAAGATGTCTTTGTAGATTCCTCTTGAAGATATCTCAAAGAAGCTGCAGAATCTTAAAATGGATGAGTGAGCACACAGAATAGATTATTAACAGGGCTCAAGTGATTGAAGAACAAATTTGGTCATGCTTTAAACTTACTAGGTGATGAGAGCCAATGAAAGTTTGGTAAGGAGGGAGAGTAATGGTTTTCGATGTGCTTTGGGGACCACAACCAAGTCTACACACAAAAGTCAGATTTAGGATATCCAAATAGCAGCTTTACATATTGTAAGAAAGGTATCTTTATAAATTATTGGGATTTTTTTCTTACAGATAATGCAGGATCATAAAAACAGGTCATTTATATGCAATAACAGATTTCAAAGGAAACTTAATTTTTAGTCAGTATTGCTTCTGAGAAGAACTGGAGCGTCAGTGCCAACATACCAGACAATGAAAGGACATTTCTCCTTCAGCATTTAATATTAACATTGCACTTGCTACTTCAATCTAGTTATTGATGCTATGTGAATATGATGCATCAAGAAGCAGGGAGAAAATTAAAATGGAAGAATTGCATGACATTTGAAAAGAAAGATGGTTGTTTCACCAACGGTATTTCATTTGTATTATTTATTGAACAACTTTGTCAGCCTTGCTTTGCAGTACGAAAGCAGGTCTATTCAGCTTTCAGTTTTAGCTAAGTCACAGTATGAAGTGATACCTATTGCTTCCCACTGTTTATTACCCATCCTTTCTATGCGTGAAAAAAAGTCTAATTTAAACCAACTAAAGCAGTGTGTTCTCTTATGCAGAATGCGTTAGTGCACTAAACCAAAGTCAAGATCAGTAATAACATGCAGTCGATGTATTCATTTTGAAAGTGCCAGCTCTTGGTGGAGGCTGGCTTTATTCCAACCCCACACAGGAAACAAGGACAGTTCTTTCTGGCAAAATGAGTCTTCGAATCAGGCTGCCAATGTTTCCCTGAGCTAATCCATTCACCTCAGTTAAAAACTGTATTTATATCAGTTTTCATTGTGGATTCGGAAGTTACTAACCTTAAATGTGTGAGATTTGGTATCAACTTTGTTTCCCGTCTATCCGAACCTTCAGGTACAATGGTTATATTCAAATGTAGTGCTTGGTATTTGATTTCCCTAAAATACATGATAAATTTTATGGTAGTTATAGAAAAGAGTAGAACACAGCAAGATAAGGCATTCGGTTCGATTCTCTCCATCATATCCATACCCGTATCCATTAAATATTTTCTCACATCGGGTCAACTTGTCCCTTCCACCCACAACCTTTGTAGCATCTCTTTCTCCTCCCTAATAACAAATGTATCCTGTATTGTATCTGTAGTGGTAAAATGTAAATTAATGTAGTGATTTTTAAGATTCTGTATCTGCTAAAGCTATCCCACAGTGAATGCCCCAACGCAGGCCATTTTTTTTGTCTCTTAGGAAAATCTAAAACTTACCAAATTGTCAACTTTGAGTTAACAGTATAAAATATCCAACTGGTAGGGAGGAGGGAAGGAAGACTGAGTTTCTCCCACCACTGGCCCTCACCATTTGCATGGATTATCATTACCGAGAGGAAGAACGTGCTTCCCCAGGATTTCATAGACTTTGTTCATAGAGTGATGTCAAGGCTAGGAAAGGTGTGCTCTTTCCCTCTGTCCAGGTGGTGGTTATGAAGCAGAATGAAGAGAGACAGGAAGAGGGTGTCAAGGGCTTTGCCTTGAAATTCAGAACATTTGTTGAGAGTAAATAGGTCAGCCAAGTTAAGAGTAGAAAGCGTCAAAAACAATGTTTGTTGAGCTGGGCAAGTGATGACTTAAACTTGTGTTTACTCTTTTCCCCAAGGTTTGGCTGTGGTTGTTTTAAAAAAACAAACAAACAAAAAAAACATTTTAATGGTCCAGGAACTCCCAGTGTGGTCAGCTAAGGGAAGGAAACAAAAGAGGAAATAAAAGAGCTATGGCCTCTTCATGAACATTGGCTATTGCTTAGATTTAATATGTACGTCCCTACGAACGTTTCAGATTAGTTTCTTTGTTCTGAATTTTCAGTGATTAGTCAGAACAAGCAAGATTCCATTGACAGTAAATAATTGCATTAAGAGGTGGGAAGGCATCATTGTCTGAGATATTTAGCAGACCTTTTGAATTGTGGAATGAAACAAGAGCATTGAGGATTTTTTTCTGATATAAAAACTGTGGTTGTTTTTCTTAAGCTGAGTTATAGGAGAAACTAAAATTTGTAACCCTACCATATGGTCTTCTAACATCTTTCTAAGCAATAACCTCAAAACTATTATATATTTTTACTATTACTACCTCTAGTCAAATATTTCTAATGTAAAATTACAGAAATAATTCAATTCTATCCTGTTATTTTTCATTGCTCTAAGTTTGAAAGACTATTGATTTCCCAGTGATATTTTCCTTTGCCTTTCATTAGTTTAATTGTCTAATATCATTCATTGTTGTACTAGCTTCAGATGCATCCTTGGAAGTTTGTTATACCCCTCTAGGTCGAAACAAGAAGGACATGTGTGAAATAACTTACCAAAATGAAACTAATTTAGGAACCAGACACTGACTTGTTTTCATCCGGTTTAGCATGGGAGTTCTTGTTGGCTGTTTTCATCATTTGAAATAACTGTGAATAAGGCTGCTTTCCCCAGAAAAAGAATGTTATTCAACATTTGTAAAATTATGCAAGCCGAGCGCCCGATGTTCTAGTTAGAACTTCAAAGAAGGGGTTTAGTCACTAAAAGGGATTAGGTTTCATTTATTTATTGATAAAGAGGCCAACAGTTCAAGTTTAGAAGGCGCTAGCACTGCTGTGAGGCTAATGAAATTTTGATGGCCCGAGCATCCTGCAAGAGTAAAAGAACATTCGGACCATGTCACACGTCTCTGTTAGTAGAGACTCAAAACAAGTGATAAAATTTGTTCCTTTGCAAAACTAACTCTTCACCAACCATGGGGATTTGAAGTTAAAAAGCATTTTAAGGAATAAATGTTTCCAGTCTATTGAGTTTCGTATGGGATTCCGAATGTTAATCTTGTTCCGAGTTCAGGATCTTGGAGAAGTCCCTTCTTGATACAACGCTTACTGTGGTGGTCATCATCATTCTCAATAGTGAAGGGATTGGTTTGTGGCCACCTAGGAAGCAGCAGTTCTGGTAAGCTGTTGAGAGGTTATGAAATAACCACGATGAGCCGCCCTAATCAAAGGTAGAAGTACCGGTATGCTCTGGATTGTTTTAAGCGTCTTTCCTCTCTCTGATGTGTCATTAAAAGACCCCTGGCTGAATTTCCACTCTGAAACTTTGCAAGTCATCTGATCTCAATTCCAACTGTCTGTTTAAATGTCAGAAACAAAGGATTTTTTTTTTTTCCAAGACATCAACCTTTAAGCTTTAAAAATGTTCGTTTGTGCATCATTTCCCAGAAGCAGCCAAAACATATTAACATCCTTTGTCATCCAGCAGTGTGGTATCATGAAAGGTGCCTGGATTTAGAATCACCCGGGTCAGGGTTTAGGACTTTTCATTCAACCAGTGAGGCTGTTGGCTCCTGAATCACCCAGAGCTCGAGTTCCCAACTTTTCCACTCTCCTTGCTACTTTGTCAGATGTACAGCAGTCCCAGAGATGTATTTGGTCCCCCGCTGGGGGTCCTTATCTTTTCCCTTCTCCCTCTCTCTACAATCTCTTATGCCCCTTGGAAAGACATGACCTTTGAAGTTGGACAGACCCATAGGAGCTGGCACTCCCCTTCTGCCTCGTGGTGATTCCTGACCTCGAGGGCCCCCACTGAGGGCGGTAGATGAGAACATGCTGTAGGGGGGCAGATTGCCTGGGTTTGATTTGGTCCCACCACCTCCTCTGTGACCTTGACCAAGTTACTTAACCTTCCTGTGCTGCAGTTTCCACAGGGGTAAAATGGAGAAAAGAGTAACTAGTAATCAGTCCTTATAGGGTCATGGTGAGGATTAAATGAGTGCAGATCTAGAATGTGCTTGGAACAGTGCCTGGAACCTAGTAACTTCCAAATAAGTGTGTGCTCTTCTGATCATCTGTAAAAAGTGAGAAATCACAGCTTTGTAAGTGGCAATGAAGATTAAGTTAGATAAACAATATCAAGTACTTGCATGGTTCTGGCCCACAGCACATCTCTCCTCCTCCCAACCCCCACCCCTTTTTACTCTCCCTCTGTCTGCGTTAGTTTTATACATGTGGCAAGATGAGGGGGAGATAGTGATCTCCAGAAAAGGCACTGATAATTTGCATAGTCTGGAATTTCTGTCACCATTTATTGACTCTTTTATTTTTCTCCCAAACCCCACATCCTTTTTAATTTACTGTAATTAAATGAATCTACATTGAATGGTGCTGATAATTAGTCTGATGGCTGTAGACTTCAAAGACTTGAGCATGCTCCTTCCCCTCCTGGCCAAAGGAAATTTCAAAAGTCGTGTTTCCCTCAAAGGCATGTTACTTAGACAGCCAGTCAATTAAAAGGCAATTTAACTGATGCTCATCAGTTCACACGATAAAATAAATCATTCCTGGAAGACTTTATCTCTCACCTGGGGTCTTAGCAATAT